CCGCAACTCCAGACCTAGCTGTAGGTTTCACGCCGCTTCCCCAGGTTCCTTGGTAGTAACTGGATATTAAGGCCTCGTCTCCCGCCTTTCAACTATAAAGCCGAGTCGCGAAGACTTTCCAGCTTCAAGCAGCTGCCTAACGATCATTTCATTCTATGGAGAACTCTCTGACAAAGAGAAAGTGCCAACCAATCACATCCGCAACAAGAGAAATGGCTGTCACCAGGGTCTCTTCGGACCGCTCCGACATTGAACACGTCCCTCACGAAAAGGACTCTGTTACCCACCATGAGTATCAACGCAATGGCAACCTGAGCCCTGATGACGTTGCATTCCTCGGCAACTTCCCAGAGGACAAGAAGAAGAAAGCAGTCCGCAAAGTCGACGTACGCACACTTTAGTTGCAACTGCCCCCTATTATACGTCGTATTGGCGTTACAACATAATCTGACTTGCATCTTCAATAGTACCGACTTATGCCGATGCTGATTCTGCTCTACCTCATGGCGTATCTCGACAAGACCAATATTGGAAACGCCAAGATCGAAGGGTTGTTAGGTAGCCTCCACATGACGGGCGTCGAGTACAACATTGCAGTTTCTGTCTTCTTCATCCCATTCGTCCTAGCCGAAGTCCCGAGCAACATGATTCTACACATGTTCAAGAGACCTTCGCTCTACATTGGTGGCATTGTCACATGCTGGGGCATCATCATGACCTGCAACGGCGTGGTCCAAAGCTATGGTGGCCTGATAGCTGTTCGAATATTCCTTGGCTTGTTTGAGTAAGCAATCACTCCTAACTGGTTGGAGAGACTACAGCAAAGATTAACTTAGGGACAGAGCAGGCTTCCTCCCCGGCGCTATTTTGATCATCTCCAAGTGGTACCTCCCAAACGAGACGCAGACTAGGATAGCTCTTCTCTATACGTCTGCCGCATCTGGTGGAGGCGTCTCTGGCCTTCTAGCATTTGCCATCGCAAAAATGGATGGTGTTGGAGGGTATGAAGGTTGGCGATGGGTGCGTCTGTAAGCCGTGAACCTTTCTTGTATATTTCTAACAACAACTTAGATCTTCATCCTCGAAGGTTTGGCTACCGTGGTCATTGGCATCATGTGCTTCTTCTTCCTCATCGACTCTCCCGCTCTGTCCAAGTGGCTTGACGCCGACGAAAAGCGCTATCTCGAATTACGACAAGAAGCCCGCCGGGTTCATCGACCGAGCGAGTTCCGAGAGAAACACTTTGATAAGCAAGCTTTGATGTCTGTCTTGACAGACTGGAAGATTTATCTCTTGATCTTTGCGAACTGGTCGAATGCGGTCCCAAATTACGCCATGAAGTTCACGATGCCGCAGATTATCAAAAACATGGGCTATACCTCGGCCAACGCGCAGCTTTTGACGATGCCCCCCTATGCGGTGGGCGCTATCTCGGCCTACATATTTTCAGTCTTTGCTGATAGGTATTCGTGGCGAATGCCCTTCATCATTGGCCCTCAGCTTTGCCTCGTGGTTGCATTTAGCATCTTGTTCGCAAAGAGCGCCGATATCAAAGACAACATTGCATTGTGTTATTTCGCCGTGTGCCTGGCCTGTTTCGGGTAAGTCTTTTAATCTCATTACACCTGTCGGTCTCATATAGAAGACATTGGGGAACTAACCCAGGATCGCCAGAATGTATCCAATCCTTCCAGGAGTCAATGCATGGAACGTAGCAAATACGCCGAGCCCAGAGAAACGAGCAATCAGCATCGGCTTCTTGGTCTGTGTCGGAAATATTGGTGGCTTGATCGGCAGCTATATCTACCTCGACAAGGAAGCGCCGACATACCCTACTGGCTTCGGAACATCTTTTGGATTCGCATCGGCCGGTATCATTGCTGTTATTGCTCTCGAAATCCTTCTGAAGAGGCTCAATGAGAAGAAGGCGCTACAGACTGAAGACGAAGTGAGGGAGAGGTATACCGAAGAAGAGCTTGGCCGCATGGGGGAGAAGAGCCCTTTGTTCAAATATGCTCTCTGAAAGAAACTTCAGCTCTTTCGGATACTCTCATGAGTACTTTGCTCAACACTGTAAAGTTTCCCGTACACGCGGCTTCAAATTGCCATATCCATGCATTTGTGTATCATCGTCGGACAAGAGACTCTCCTGTGTTCCTCAGAACCACTAGCCAAGCTGGGGTAGAGAACTACTGAAGAGCGCCTGATTTCCCAAATTCCTGTGTCACATTTTCGATTATCTGACATGAACCACCCTATACGAGACCGGAAGTCTCCAAATTCGGAGTCTACTCGTGAAGCCAACTCGTCACCCACCACGTCGCCCTCAACCTCGACTTCTCAAATTGCCTGAGACCGCGAGCCAGCAGCATCCACCGCAGTGGATCAACAACTCGATTATCACGGCCGGTTGGCCCAATGGCAAGGCGTCTGACTACGATTCATCACGTTATCAGGAGATTCTGGGTTCGACCCCCAGGCTGGTCAATTGAGTGTCCTTTTGCCATCCTTGAAGGGTTACCTAGCTTGCGGCAGGAAATTGTTCTTTTTGGTCACATAATTCGATACTGCAAGTCATTTCCTCTCGATGATGAGTTTCATTGAGTTATATCGCCTTGTCATATTGATCGTTCATGAATCGTGAGTAGAGTATCTGTCGGAGGCGGCTTGAATTTTCTAGTATCCCAAGGACTCGTAGATGGCACCGAATCCCTTGAATTGCTTGAAAGCCTTAACCTTGGGCCCGTTCATTGGTTCCATGCCCTTGTCGCCCTTCTCCAGCGCCTTGCGATACGCGGGGCGCTCGGCAACATCCTTCAAATACCGCAAAATGTTCTTATGCTCTGACAAGTCCAGGAGAGGATAGAAACCACGCATGGTGGTCAGAGTGAAGACCGTCATGATATCCGCAGCGCTCAGGTTCTCACCGGCAAGCCACTTGTTGTTGGTCAAGCGCTTGTCAATCAGCTTGAGGGCCTGGTGGGACTTTTCTTCCATCCGCTTGCCAAAGTCACTTTGCGAAGCGCCGGCAAACAACAGGGTCATAGCGCGGCCGAGAGTGGGCTGAAGAGTACCGTTGGCGAAGTGAAACCATTCGAGGTAGGCGGCGTAATCGGCGTCATCGGGGGTACGAAGAAGTCTCGGGGCTCCGGAGCCAGCCTTGCTACCGTGGACGTTGAGAATGTACTCTACAGTTGCGCCTGACTCTCCAAGCTCGATTGGCGGTGAAACAGTGCTGTCGCGGAAATACGGTGCGGTTCCGGCGGGGTTCTGACTCGTTCAGCTGTCTATCCACTATTCACAAAATCTGCTGAAAAAGACTCACGATCTCCTTGATTTCTTTGGGCGCGAGTCCTGTGATGGGATCTCTCTGGAAGACATGCAAATCGTATGGTACTTGGAGTTCCTAGTAGAGTCTCAGTAATTACAGACCTAGATGATTGTTTGCGAGTTAATACCAACCTCCAAAAGCCACACAATTCTCTCTGATTGAGAAAGCCCAAGATGGTAAACTTCGATAGACATGTTGATTGCTTGTTTCGATACGACTCAGATAGAGATAGATGCTTGAGATCGTTGATTCTGTCTGCCCCGAAGCAATACAATTGAGGGGTTGGCCCGCATCATATAAAGTAACACGTCCGCTAGGGGATCGGCTAGTCTAGAGTCTCGAGTGCCACCATGTTGACGTCAGGGGTCCAGGAGCAGAGTTCACGAGTGCAGCAAGCTGCGACGAAACGAACGGTGCCGCGGTCGGTGGGTCGAAGTTCTGGAGAGCCGGTGCAACTCTGGAAGCCGCCGTCCGCCTCATAGGAGCAGCGGACAGGGACCGACTCGGGTTGTCCGGAGTAGAGCGGGGAATGGCGGGGCAGACGACCGGATTTAGGGAGGATTCTGGTGGGGGTGGATGGACTGACCGTCCGATCGTCCGATAGACAGTCTCCTAGATCTCATCCACATCGGTGCCGAGCTACCTCGAAGAGATGATAGTGGGAGGCCGTGGGCTGCAGGCTGCTGTCTACTCGGATGATGGTTGCTCCAGTGCTTGACTTATCCCCGCGCCATGGTTTCTGAAGATTTCAGCTGCATCGTTTCTGCAGCGCTGGAGTCAATGATGATTTGCAGCAGGGATCAAAGCTCGGGAGTTGGCATACTGCGAATTTGTCATTCCATTGGGAGGGGTCACTAAGGCCAATTTGGGCCACAAATCCGACTCTTTGTGCAAGTACTGTTGTATTTAGCTCATAGTTATTTATCCATACGTCTCTTGCGAGTTTCCTGTGGGCAGAGGAAGAACCCAGGCTGTACTATCTGCCGGCTCGTCATAAGCAGTTTGATTCGTAGGCCCGATCGAGTATACTGGACGAAGTTACAAACTTACACAATCTGATTGTAAGCACAGCAACACGTGGCCAACACATGTAGTGATTGCTCGGCAAGAATCCCCATTGGACAAGCGCCTTGTCGAGAGATATTATGCTTTATCAACAGCATGTGAAGCGAGGGGGCATCTTGGAAACAGACTCTGGGAACAGTGAGCTCGGACTTGTGGAGGGTAAGAAGGTTTCGATCCAACCGATTTGCTCATCCTTGCCCCGCATTTCAGCCGAGCTTTGAGCGCCGGCAAGGGGGCCGTTTGTTTGCTGTGCGTTGTGGCCGGTTTGCTTGCTCCCCTTAATAATCAGCTGGCCCCTGACTTTCGCTTTTCCGGACTGCTTTCTGTGCACAAACTCCCAGCCAGATCTGCGTGCCACACCACGCGAGAGGCGTCAGGTATCTTTTTCGATTTGTTCCGGTACGAGATATCCTCCGTTATGATCCACCTACGGATTCGTCATATGCCGTAGTAAGACGAAGCGCACACACTCGGAGTGCTGAACCCGGTGTAGGAGCCGTTGTGGGTGCTGGAACCGACGTGGTAGTCCGGAGAATCGGACTTGAGTCAGTGGAGACCATCAGCAAACGCATCGGAGGGTCGGATATTCATGGATGGTGGTAGGATGGCCGACACACCAGCGGAAACAACGGCGAGCACCGACACTGGTATCCGCGATGATGCCCCTCTAACAACATCCGCCCCGACACCTTCGTCAAATATATCACAGCCGTCCCCGTCAACTCTGCCGCCGACTATTACCGATCGGAGGAAACGCAGCTTGCCCGAGGGTTCGCCCGAGGGCCCCGAAGAGGGCCGTTCGTCATCGGCTGCTGCTGCCGCCGCCGCCACTGCCGCCGCTAATCGGCGAAGAAGTCACAAAGTCAGTCGCGCATGCGACTTTTGCAAATCCAAGAAGCTGAAATGCTCCGGAACGATCCCATGCGACGTCTGCACCCGGAAACGTCTCTCCTGCATCTACGACGCTACTTACCGCCGAGGTAGACCGCCGACACCTCCGCCAGCATCCAGTTCTGCCCCCGGGTTATTTGAATCCCGACTGGTCCCCTCAACTTCCCTAGAGGTGCACAGGTATGTCTTTGTGAGAACAAGTAGTGTTCGATGATGGTTAAAGTGGTAGTTAACTATTCACAGAAGACCGCTTCCCTCGGCGGCGCCTCTCCCATCCCTAGCACCGCGTGAACCACGTCTTCCCCGCCAGAGTGCGGCTCGGTCGAGAAGCCGTGATCATGTAGCCGACGAGGCGGAGGCTGCAGAGCGCAGCCGGCGCAGCGCTCTGCCAGGCTCACGCGCCTCGCCAGAAGTCGAGATTGCCGAGATCGAAGGGCAGTATGTTGACACCACTTCGAGTCTAACATTCCTGCACCGAGCATGGAAGCGCCTTTCGTCGCAGAGATCTAATACTACTGACGTTCCTGGAAACGCACCGAGCGGCGCCGAACAGCATCAGAGGCTGACGAGGGCAGGAGACAAGCCTTTCGATTCGCAGCCGTTGGACGTATCGACTCTTCCTGACCGGTTGGCCGGCTTGGACATGCTGGATTTCTACTTTGATGTTTGCGTAGTAACCTATCGATGCCTTCATCAAGGTTACGTCGCCCAGTGGTTCGAGATTCTGCTCGCAAATGCGAAAGACAGCCGTCCGCTGCACCACGAAATTGGCCACGCCAAAGCCTCTATCGTTTTGACCATTCTCGCTATCGTCACCCTCCGACAAAGCAAGGTCCGAAATGTCGACGAAGAAAGGTTTTCTCACCTTCTGCGCAGCGACGCTCTCTTTTCTAAGGCTTTGAGTTTAACGGATGCGGAGATCGGGTTGCCGAAGCTAGAGTCCTCGCAGGCACGCCTCTTGCAGGTGTTGTATCTCCTCCAAACATCTCGCATGAATCAAGCATGGTATGTCTTTGGGAGCATTCTCCCCATCATCTCGGCTTTGGGTCTACATCGGAAGTCCGGACGCAACAGGGCCAGCAGCGACAAGGACTACATACTGTCGCAGTGCCGGAAGAGGACTTTCTGGGTGGCATACACCATCGACAAGTATCTCTCTGTTGTATTTGGTCGGCCGAGGATGTACCGCGACGACGATATCGATCAGGACTTCCCTGACTGCGTCAACGATGAGGACATGACACCCCAAGGAAGATCAAGTGACGAGCCAGAGATGGATTGCCATGTTGAGAGTCTCATCTTCCACGCCAAACTCGCTCAAATCATTGACGGTATCTCTCGCGAGGTGTACTCGATTAAACCCGTTCATAAAGATGACCGTCTCATGATTGCACATCGATACGGCAAGGCTCTACACCGGTGGCGCGAGTCCTTGCCACACCATTTGGGTACCGTTCGACCCATGTCCTTAATTCCGTCATTCAGAAGACAGAACACAGCCCTCAAGCTGGCATATTGCCACGCCATTATGCACGCCAACCGACCCTTTCTTCTTGGAACGGGTGGCTCGAGAGGTGGTCAGCAATCGCCTCTAGAAGATAGTATTGATGAATGCATCACTGCAGCCAAGGCCGCACTTGAGACAGTCGACGGCATGGCTAGTGACGGGAAATTATTCCACGCTTTCTGGTGGACGCCGTACGTCACCTTTTGTGCACTCGCGGTGGTGTACGTCTATGAAATTCAAAGAGGGAGACAGGACCCGGAAAGGGGCCTCTTTGAGCTGGCAGATCGCTGCCAGAATCACCTGGCGAAAGCAACGACTGCCGAGAGCCCAAGCCGCAGATACTCTGTCATTCTCGAAGAGCTTCGGCAAGAGGCTAGTTCTCATTCCGAAGGCCCTTCAGGCCGTGAGAGGAAGCCGACCATTGAGCGTGCTGAGCATGGAGGTGCGGAGCCGATGCAATTGGAAGAGGTTTCGGGCGCTCCAGCACCGCCGGCCGATATGGGTGAAGTGTTCCAGCAGCATGGGTTCGAAGGGATGACGAACCTCCTCAGTGGTTGGGAGACAACGGATTGGCTGGACTTAGACTCTTCGGTACACGATTTCCTCCAGAGTTTTCAACTAGGATGTTGAGCTGATTGTCTTCAGGCCTTTGCTACGTTTCCCAACTTCGAAGGATCGCCAGCTTACTGGATGCCGGATGTTCAGTGATAGCGCATGGAATGAGAGGATCGTGTCGGCTGACGAGGTTATAGCGACGGTGTACTATGATGAAAATACCAGGTAACAAAAGCTTTTCGCTGTACAAAATAGTTTCTAGAAAGAAAAACCATTCAAGTCGGGTGCGAGTTGTCGGAAGAAAGGGAAGCAATCAAAGCCTCGATCGGCAACGCGGCAACCCTGATTGTCCGAACCAACCATTCGCCGGAATTAACGGGATAATAATACTGCTTCTTCACCCAGATTGCGGTGAGGTTATCTTGCGCTGTGGGGATGAAGCGGCCTGTCAAGCCGAGCCCCTTCTTTCAAGCTTCGTCCAAACTCCACCAACACTCTTCATCGCCAACTGCTTCGACGTGGGATCCTAGCTTGTTCGGCAACAGAACAGGAACCTGCAGATGCTAAGTCGCGGGAGCATCACCCGTGCCCGGCATGACCGGTAGAAACACCCTGTCGAATTACCCGCACAGATCAGCAATGCGGCATGACACCTCCTCCAAAGGCTCATCAGCCTCCGCGCTGCAAGGCACCCCCTTCGGGAAGGCCAATGCAGGAGCCACTATGGACAACGGATACCGGCACCCATACTTTTCCAAAAGAGCCGGGTTTCCCTTTCGGAAGCCATGGCAAGTGCCGAATAAAAGCTTTTTAGACAACTCCAGATGAACCAGTTTCCTTTCGCTTTCGGATGAGACATGGATCTAGCACGGCCCCCAGCCAACCGGCTAAATTGACGATGATGGCCCCCTTTTCAACACTACCCTACGTGTGGGGTAACGAGATCACCGGGTTTTACACATAGTGCATGCGGCCCCTTTGGTTCTATGCACGAGCGGCTGAAGGGAAGTCTACAAAAGTTGCCAGATGCGTCACAGGGAGCTCTGTCAACAGCTTCGTTCGTTCGACTCCGTTACCTAGGACTATAAGTAGTTGCTCAAGAACGAGCCCAAGATCGTCCTCGAGACACTGAATCGGCATCGCACTTGGTTGTAGCAAGTCCATCGCAGCTATGAAGTTCAGCACAATTCTCTCCGCTCTTGGGCTGGTCGCCTCTGCCAGCGCCGCTTCGCTGCAGCAGGTCACGAACTTTGGCTCGAATCCCAGCGGCGTCAAGATGTACATCTATGTTCCCGACAAGCTGGCGGCGAACCCTCCCGTGGTTGTGGCCATCCACTACTGCACAGGTACCGCTCAAGCCTACTACAACAACAGCCCCTACAAGACACTCGCAGATCAGAAGGGCTTCATCGTCATTTACCCCGAGTCACCATACTCGGGAACCTGCTGGGATGTCTCCTCAAAGGCAACTCTCACCCACAACGGAGGAGCTAACAGCAACTCCATCGCCAACATGGTCTCATACACTCTCAGCAAGTATAACGGCAACAAGTCGAAGGTCTTTGTCACCGGCTCTTCATCCGGCGCCATGATGACTGTAAGTCAACGTCCATAACTCAACAAGACAATGCTCGAGTGACTAATCGCGCAACAGAACGTCCTGGCCGCGACGTACCCCGACGTCTTCGCCGCTGGCATCGTCTACAACGGCGTCCCAGCCGGTTGCTTTTACACCGGTACGGTCAACGGCTGGAATAGCACCTGCTCTTCGGGCCAATCGATTGCCACGCCGGCACGCTGGGCCCAATGGGTCTACGACGCCTACCCCGGCTACACGGGGTCCCGCCCCCGCATGCAGATCTACCACGGCAGCACCGACACCACGCTCAACTACGCCAACTACCAGGAGACCATCAAGCAGTGGTCTGGCGTCTTTGGATACAACCCGGACAAGCCTGTCACTTCCTCTCAGAACACCCCTATTGCCAACTATCGCACTGATGTGTTTGGTGATCACCTGACGGGTGTTTGGGCTGTTGGCGTTGGACACACTGTGCCCATCCGGGGCGACGATGACATGAAGTTTTTCGGCCTGTAGCCGTTCTCAACACGTACAATAATTCTTGGATATAGTTTGAAGGAAGCTTCAGCCGCCGCTCTGGCAGTAAATAACTAGTGCGTATTGTTATGATACTTATTCGGTCTTAACATACATTGTCTCCGTTGTGTGAACTTTGGGGGCTCTTTTATAAAGTTTCCCGCGGAGAAACGTAGTCCGCGGGGACAATCTATCCCCCGTTGACGGACCGGAAGCATGATTCAGAACCGGGCCGGTATTGATAAAGGATCTCAGACCCGCCGGCTACGAGGCCGGGTCTCTGGAGGAACCGGAGGTTATGACTACTTGACGCAGCGCTGCGGAAAAGCCAACACGGGTATTGCAATCTACTCGCAGATACCCAAGTTGCATATCCGCTGATTTCCCATCCACGAAGTTGACAGTGTCCAGCTTCACGCATTATGCATTACCTTAGTCCGGACCGAAGAGCTGCAGGAGAAACCTACTGAAGGATCCGACGTAGCGGCCCTTCTCGTGCCTCCAAGACCTCTTTCAACTTCTCCGCAAACCGCGACACGTTGACCTCGTCCAACATAGAATAGTGTCACCCGGAACATCATAACACTGCACATCGCTCACAAACTCCCGCCACCGGCTGAGCTTATTCAGAACCCAATCCTTGCGGTCAATAGCTACCTCCTTGAGAGGATCTGCGACAAATACATCCATGCTGCGTATCGTTCCCCGTGGCTCGTAGTCTCGAGCCAGATGCTGGACCGAAGATGCAAAATCTGCCCACTTGACAAACTCCTCTTCGCCGAGGCCTAACCCTATCCGAGTCGCTGGGGGCTCGGAGGTGGGCAACTGCTTCTTGCTTTGAGAATGTGCGCAACATGGGTATCTGCTGTAAAGCCTGATCCTGTTCGATGAGCTTCGTGAAGTGAAATAAGTTGGCGAGACACTCTACCCCGCCGAACTGTCTGATGCGGTGCTTAATATGCGGCGGAAGGTTCCAGCAACCGCAGTAAAGAACCTCATCACCTGCTGTCTCGAGTCTCTTACATAATTCGAAGGCAATCATTGAGCCGAACGGATAGCCTGCGATAGCATACGGCCCCTTTGCTTGGACGGCTTCGAAGTGCTGAAAATAGTAATCCAACAACATATCCAAGGAGGCAAAAGGCCAAACACCGCTATCGAGACCCCCTGCACGGAAGGCATAGACTGGCCGGTCGTCGATGAGCCTATGAGGTTCATGAAGACCAGGAATTCTCCGACACCGGGATGTACGAGCCACAGCGGCGTCTTTTTGCCCTTTGACCGGAGGGTAAGGACCGGGCTGCCGACTTCATCTTTCCTCTCAGATCCCTCATTTATCATAGCTAGCCGCCGAGGCGTCGGACTTTTCAGGACTTGGCTGGGCGTGAGTCCTTCTAATAATTGAAGCCAGTCCGAGATTAGACGCGCTATCTTGATGAGGTCCATTGACGTAGCGCCGAGCCAGAATATCGATCTTTTGATGCTGTGATGTGGCCCCCTTGACTTGGAAATACTCCTGTATTTCGTGGCGAATGAGTGCCTCAAGAGAAGAAACTATCTTCTCTGCTACGTCATGTTCTACTCTGTCGGCTTCGCTCGCTTTGTGGAGATGCTGGGCGTACGTGCCCTTCCCGAAAGCCGACCTGATCGCACCTCTTGGGCAGCTTTCCTCGTGCCGATGGCTTGAGATCAGCGGCTGTTAGGGGTAGAACGATGACAGATGAAGCCGTATGTAAGCCGATAATATCGATTATCCTATTGCGAGTCTTGGTCCGGGCTCGAGTATCATTGTCCTCAACCGATGGTAAGTAAGCAACGACAATTCGTTCTGTGTCAGATGACTGTGGCAAAGTTGAGAAGCAACAAAAAGAGCCCGGAACTGCCCCTTGTATCAACTCTTTCTCGAGATGGTGTTCCAGCTCGTCTGGGGCGTACTTCACCCCGTTGATGATAATCGTATCTTTGGAGCGTCCTTGGAGGATTAGTTGACCGTTGTGGTTGACACAAGCAACATTGCCAGAAATAAATCAGCCATCACTTGTGAAGGCGGCCGCATTAGAGTCGCGATCGTTGAAGTAGCCGTCAAATACTACGTCGCCGGAGAGTTCCAGAAGCCCAACCTGGCCAGCGTTTGCGAATGCAGATGGAGAATTGCCATCTAAGAGTCTCACTCGCAGCTGTAGCCCAGGGACGCCTTTGCCAACGTCAACATGTTGGTGATTTTGTCCTCGATCATACGTCGGGTAATTTGCGTTATATACGCACCCAGCGCAAGGTTCTGTAATTCCAGAACCCGGGACGATGATGTCTTTGCGAGCACCGTAGTTCTCGAGTTGTGTCTGGAGTGCCTCGCAGACATCCACTGTATTTGCTTCCCCACTCGAACCAAGCCATTGCAAACATCCAAGATCGAGATCTCCATCCGACGACGATGTTTGTTTCAACATGAGCTCCCTGGATAACTTCGCCAAGAAAGAATGAGGGGCAAAGGTTCGCGAAAGCCGGTAACGGCTGACCATATTCAGTAGCTACACAGGGTTGGACAGCACCTCGTCCGCGGGGAGATGCACTTGGAAGAAACCCATGTACATCGCGAGGAGATGATTCTCGGTCAGGCACGCTACGTGGTCCATGACGATCCAGTTGAGGTAGGGACCGCCGCTGTGTGGTCCTGCAGACTTGGGTTTGCCTTCTAGCGAAGCCAGTATTTGATCATGGCTGAGTTGTACCGCCTTGGCTCTCCCAGTCGTACCTGATGTCAGAATGAGAACCGCCGGGTCGGAAGCAGAAGAACTGTCAGGCAAAGGTAGCAGCGGCATCGATTGACTCATCCTGGCAAGACTTTGAGAAGTTGTCTTGGCAACCGGTTACTTCTTGGCAAAGTCTTGCAAACAGTATGAGCCTGAAAGCGACTGAGGTACTATGCAGAGCGGATCCTTCAACAAGATGGGGAGATATGAGAGGTACTCTGATCGACCGGGCTCAAGAATCGAAGTGGTTGAAATTGCTGGCAATAGCCCTGCGATTACAGTCGACCAAAACCAGATGATGGTGTCCAGGATGTTGTCGAGGCACAGCAAATCAACAAGGTGTTCTCCGCCGATGCCAACGGATGGCGGGCACAGCCGAAGGAGAATCTGAGCATTTGCACGAGCCAGACAGGGCAAGTCTGAATATGACACGACTGTCGGCACGAGATCTCCAACTGTCTCTTCTGCTCCATAGGCTATGATTGATTGAGATGTAGACCCAGCGGCATTCCGAATGAGGTCGATGAGGGTTGGTCCTTGTACAGCCCCTTTGGCCGGGTTCAGGGGCTCCATTGCTTCGAGAAATATGGTAAGAAGCTCATGAGTAGAGGCTCAGATAGGAAACAATGTTGTGGAGCAAATGCCTATCACTCTCAACTTACACCGTCACGTAACGATTCTGTGTGCGATGTTCCAGTCGTCAGCATTCGAAGGCATCACGGCCAGATTAAAGGGGGAGAGACCTGAACAAGAATAGGCGCAAAGACACTGTGGATGCTCCCGGGATCGTTTACCCGAGCCCATCTATTATCGATAAATCTCAAAGGATTTGTTTGGCAATTCTGTGTGGGTGACTACCTGTGAATACCCAGCAAACTGCGCGGGGTGAGTGCAATATTAAGCCACCATGCATTCAGCGCAAACAATCTCAAGGTGAATCACGTTGATAGAGTCTTGATTGGATGGCGTGGCTAACCAACGTTCCTCGCCAAGCTGACCTATTGCAATACAGCCAGATGACTAGTTACTTCCTAAGCAAAAATTGAATTTGTTCATAACAGAGTCCTATATACGGCACAGCTGCCAAAAGTTCCAATTTGTACATGAAGACAGAAACCGTACAGGTCACCGAGAAGCACCCGAGCCCCACTTCACATCGAGAAAGAAGACCTACTGCAAAGCAGTAACGACCGCGTTATAAGCCGCCTTGGGGTTAAAGTTGGCATCAAACAAGAGCGGGTTATTCTGCGCCCTCCAGCTGTCCGGGTCACGCACTCCCCAGACCGTGATACCAACGCACTGCGGAACCTGCAGACAGGCCTTTGTCACAGCCGTGTAGTCAGCCGCGCTGGCGCCGACAATGTCCAGCTCCGTGATGGCGACCTCCTTGACGCCACTGCCGGCGAGGGTCTGCAGCGCGCCAAGAGCGTTGCCGCCTTGGTTAGCTTGGAGATGGGCTTGGGAGCCTGGCGTGAGATCCGTTAGTATTCGTGCATGGTGACCAAGGAAGAGTGTGTTGGACTGGCTTCACACGTACCGATACCGTCAATGGGGATGCCCTTGCCGATCCACTCCTTGACTTTGCGAGCCATGGCCTGCGTCTTGGCGTAGCTGGCCTGGTCGAGGTTGTAGTCGTTGATGTACAGTTTGGCATTGGGGTCCGCGGCCCTGGCGGCGCGGAAAGCGATGCCGACAAAGTCCTCGCCGAGGACCTGCGAGAAGACGGAGGAACGGAGGGAGCCGTCCTCGTTGAAGATCTCATTGACAACGTCCTGACCACACAAGGTTCAGTAACGTTGGTTTCCTAGAGAAGAAGAAGAAGAAGAAGAAGAGGGTGGACACAGACTCACCCAGTGGTAAATCTTGCCCTTGTACCGGCCAACAACAGCCTTGATATGGTCCTCAATGACAGTCGTCAAACCAGCCTTATCACGGACGTTGTTCACCCAGCCCGCAAGCTGAGAGTGCCACACAAGCGTATGCCCGCGGACAAGCTTGCCGTTCTGCTGCGCAAAGTTGACGAGGTAGTCGGGCGTGGCCCAGTTGAACTGGCCGCGGTTGGGCTCGATCTGGTCCCACTTCATCGAGTTCTCCGGCGTGACCTGACCAAAGTTGGCCTTGATGATGTCGGCGTTCTTGCCGGCAGTCAGGCGGTTCTGGTCGGTGCAGGTGCCAAAGTATTGCTTGCCTTTGGCCTTGATCAGCTTGTCGATGGACTGCGAGGCCTGCCTCTCCTCGAGGGGAGCGGCGAGAACGGTGATGGGTGCCAGGAGGCAGACGAGGCTTGAAGAGAACTTCATTGTGAGTGATGAGGTGAAAAAGAGTGACCGTGGTGCTGTGAATGGTGTATTCCATTGTCTTAGCTAGCCGCCTTTATAGAGTTGGAAGTCGTGCTTCGGGTAGATGGAGGCTCTCAAGCCAACACATTTGGCTTAACCTTAGATGAAGGACCGCCCATTTGCTTAAACTACCACTATACAATAACCATAACTCGATTTACTTATCTGGGCACGAATCAAGGCCAAATGAGGGACTCGGAAATGCAAAGTCCAGGATCTCGGCCCGTTCTGGAAAGCCAAGCTCGGTGGTAACAAGCCGTAATGGCACCGAAGGTATTATTCATCGTGTAAGAAGCGGACACCAGCCGTCCTGGGAAAAAAGGCACTCCCCCTGGTAATGCGGGGAATAAGCATGGGTGATATCGGCTGAATGTGTTAGTTCCTTGCGGGCATTCGACAGTGACATTACCCAAGGGAACTAGTCATGGCTTGAACATCGCAAGACGCACTTAGCGGCAGCGAGCTGGTCATGCAGTGGCCTCGTGCTTTTCAGATAGATTGCTAGCTATTGCTAAGGGCGGCTGAAATGAGGCGCCTAGGTAGCATCCGAACTTTGCGAGATCCGAGTTTGGCGAGCCTTGGTAGCTGCAAGAGGCCACCCTTGTCCGATGCGTACCGAGTGAAACCTCAGGGTCTTGGCCACCACTGCTGCCGCTTATGAGAGGCCTTCCACCATTCCTCCGGGCTACTTGATGTGCCATGTAGCTTTTCGGATGACTGGTATACGCCATAGAGCCGGGGAATTATTCTAGATTGATGTAGATTGTTCTTATTTCCCAGAAGGGGCACGTAATTCCCCGTCCTGATGATCCCACCCCTGGAGGGTCGAAGGGTGTAAAGAGTATCTTACATCCGCTCTTACGGAGTGGAAGTCATAGTCGTGGCTCTGAATCAAAGTCCTGAGTCGAAGTTCCGTCCGTCTGACTGCTCTCAAGTATGTGGGAGGGGAACTGATGCAGCAACAAGATTGTCTGCCCTGTTCATAGTTGTACCGAATTTGACGAGGTCTCGATGGATCAGGAGTTGGCGCTGGCAATGAGATCGCTGATCAAATTTTTGACCGGTTCAAACACCTCTTCATCATCGCCAGGTGGTACAAACACCTTGACGCGCCCCTCTGAGAGCACGAACCCGCCACAAGCAATCTTGGTGACTCTCACGCCAGGATGGAAGAGATTCAGGGCGAGATGCTTTTCCAAGTAGGCACCCAAAGCATGCAAGAATGCTTCGTCGTGCTCCCCTTGGCGGTCAAACCATCCCCATCCTTCGTCCGCCTTGCCGCCCGCGAGCTTTTTTCTCTTTCTAGGATCCTCTTGGTAGCCTTGAGTGAGCCCTGCCTTGTTGATAATCGTCGGGTTCGTGAGCGTCATCCCTTCCTTTGTAAACCGCTTGAGCTCCTCAGCCGGTATGACGATGTCGATTGACTTGATTCCGAGCCCGTCTGGGGGTTGTTCGTCAGTGCCATCTGAGGTCACTGCGGGTGGTATGTAGAATCCCAGGGTCAAGATCATGTCTTTTGCCAGAGGGCCCTGTGAGGGGAGACCGGCATCTTCGATCCACCGTTCCCATGCGGTAGTCAGGCCTTTCGTACCCAAGCGTAACGAACTAATCCGGCAGTCGAATGTGCTTGACAGAAAGTCAACGATAACTGATTTCAAAGGTGCAGGCATGCGAAGGAGAAGCAGAGGTAGATGCAAAAAGTGCCTGTCATCTTTTGTGCCGCTGCTGGTAAGCAACCCAGGCACACCGAGGCTATTGGCCGATTGCAGTTCGGCTGTAGGCTCTTCCGTGATCTTTTCAGAAAGTGATGGTAGCAGCACAGCTGTGCACAGCGCGTTCTCGTATCTCATCTCGAATACAAGGCATCTCTTTTTGCGGACGGTTTCATCGGTCTCGACACCATCGCTGGTAAGATCCCTGCTCAGATCGGGGTCCGTATCGTCCGCGCCGCCTAGTAGAGCTTCAACGCCAACCCATCGTATTCCAACTTTTTCCAGCGGGCCGGCGCGTCCTAGAGAGCTGTCGCTGCCTTCCAGCCCAACCTGTACACCCCTGACGACGTCTCCCACGAGCGTGTCGCGTAAGCGCTGCGACAGTGCCTGTAATCGAGGAAAGCTCAGGGTATTGGCGCCGACGTACAGCGGCGATGCGCGATGGGTGGAAAAGGTGGTGTTGAAGAAGGGCGGAGGTGGTTCGCGCTCATCGAGGGACGATGGAGATGGTCTTTCGGGAAGTACTTCGGAATCGAATTCGGCCGCGGCCGCACGAGGGCGACCACGAGGAGGCATTGCGGTGAGCCGACGAGGGTGCTGGCGACTCGGGGAATGGGTGCGGAAACGGTGATGTCTTGAATTGGTACTTGGTGCAATGATGACGCGTTGGTGCTGGCTGAGTCTGCGACTTTCTCGATTGATAGCAGGTTCGTAGGAATTGTCTTAGTAGAATGCGCGTCGGTCTGCGATTTCTCTCGGTGTTGTTGATTGTGGGTTTCGCCAAAGCACGCGAATGCTGTGTGCGAAGTAGCTGTGATGCGTAGAAAGTAAGGAAGATGGCCTGCTAAAGCTAACGTGGGGCCAATTGGCGATGGGCACTTGGGGATAGACAAGATATTGATGCCTACAATGATGATACAGATGAATGTGTGCAGCAAGATGATCCGAGGTAGAATGAATACACTGTGTATTATGATAGAGGAACTTCGTCCAAGGTTATGATGGAATGGTGTGAGAGGTAGAATTGAATTGCAGACTTCCCGGGCAAGAGGCGCAGCGGCGAAAGGTACCCGGAGGCAGGTACCTTCATAGAGCACCTGCACGCCGTGCCGATTTTGTGGATCCATCGGCGCCAGCTCCGGAACCTGCGTCCGGAACGGGTTTGGAATGGAAACACCCAGGATGGTCAAATCGATATCACTTCTCATAGAGTCTCATAATTACGGAATGGGGGATTGTGTTCAAAATGATTTCAAGGCTATTCGCTGAGCTGGACATCAACGCGCCTGCTAATGTTCTACTCGTGCCCGCCCCCACTTTTTTAGGCATTCGGGACTCATCACCCACTAAAGTAAGTGCTTTTCAGCCAAACGGCCTCCTTAGCCAAACGGGCAAATAATTATTAATTATATACTATTATATATAAGCCTTAACTACCCCCTTTTTAATAACCGCTTATTATTTAGACCATTAATTATATATATAAGCTAAAGCTAGCTAATATTCCTTACTTTTTTAGCTT